TATATATATTCATTTGCCTTTCAATGAATGAAAATAAATACCCATGGATAGTGAATAGAAGTGGAGATATTTTCTGTTGAAGGAGGTGTGGTCAGCTGGTCTCAGTGGGAAAACTAGCGAGACATGGGCGCCAAAGTGGGTAACAAGTCCTTGAGAGTCCTTGAAAATTCAAAAATTACATAACTTACAGATTTTGTGCCTTTAATCAACGTTTTTCTGTAAAATGCTTCTTAGTGCTCAATGTTAGTGGAATATCCCTTGGAGAGTAGGCAGTGGTCAGAAAAGTCGCTCAGATAAATTCATCAAAATCTCAAACGAGTCTAAAAAGATTTCTTTCTTTTCATTGAGTTATGTAGATTATTTAGAATACACGAGTATTATTTTTCATGTTATGTAAAAAGATTTTCTACCTTTGTTCGTTTTCACAAATGAAAAAATTTATTGAGGATTTATGGTATTTCATGTGAGGCATCTTGGTGAAATTGTCTTGTGCCCATTTTCTTTTTTTTTTTTGGGGGGGGGGATTTGAGTCACCTTGTGTTATGTATGTATTAAATGCATACATGGGTAACCATCTAGTTGTGTCCTTGTTGGTACTAGCATTTTTTGTTTTTGTAAGACCAAAACTGAAGGTGGGTGGTTAGCGGTGGTCTGGTGTGGTTTGCTTCTTCTTTCCTATCAAATATCTATAGATCTGTATATCTCCCCTCCTTCTTTTTTGTGTTTGTTACTCTGTTGTGACACCTCTAATCTTTGGCACTTATATAAGTTAATTGTGTGACAACTGCTGTAAAACAGTTACTAAAACAATTTTTTTAAAACCGAACTGTGTTCCAATAGCAGTCTCCATTCTGTTTTATCCGCTGTTTTCTGTGTCTCTGTTGTGCCCGTCTGCTCTCTGACACCATCTTGCCTGCCGCCTTCTTTCGGGTCTTCCACTTGTTCTCATCAGCTTTTGAAAATCTTTATTTTTCCCGACTGTTTCTAGACTGACAAAAGGGTTTCCTGGAAGCATTATTAAAATCTTTATTTTTCCCGACTGTTTCTAGACTGACAAAGGGGTTTGCTGGAAGCATTTTATTAAAATCTGTATTTTTCCCGACTGTTTCTAGACTGACAAAGGGGTTTGCTGGAAGCATCGGTAGCTCCGAGATCAAGAAGACTCTGCATGAGCTGAGAAGTGTGCTGTCCACCCCAGACTGGATGAAGTCTAGTGTTTGGATTGTAAGTTTCTCCGCACAGTCACCACACCCACAGGGGACTGAACCAGTAATGGAAATATGTCTGTCCCCGTGGTTTTATGCACCCCGCATAATTTAGCAAAATTTGATCATTTTTGGCATAATTTGTGATTATTTTCCTTTATCATTCTTTGTTAAAATTAACAGAATCGCATAATTTCACATTTTTGGGCTCGGTTTGCGTAATTTCAGAATTTTTCTTGCTTAAAACGACGGGGACAGATATGTGTGGCGTAATGGTGAAATCAGGTGCTCGTCAAATTGAAAAAACAAAACTGCAACTTTATGTTTTACCATTATTTAATGAAATCGAAGAAATATAACTTTTTTTTCTGTCTGGTGCGCAATTTTGATCTGGGTTTTTTTTGTTTTTTGCTCAACGCCATTTATGTTCATGAAGAGACGCATTTATCTGTGGTTTTACTGAAAACATTGGTCTAGGGCTCAATATAATTATTGTGAGTTTGTAGTTTCCAAGAACATTTCAGCTTTGGAAGTCACCAAACTTTGGTGGTCCTTTCCTCCACGACTTTACTTGTTACGATAGGCGGCTCCCACCTCTTTCAGTCACAAATATCTCGACTTCTATTCAAGATGGATGGGTATTTTTTATATTTTTTTAAAGGCAAATGGACAGGCATTAAAGTTATACGAATAAATCCATATGCCCAAAAATTGATGAGCAGCTGATTCCACCGTATTGTGACACATATTATTGTTGATGGAGATAATATAATAATAATAATAATAATAATATATAACATTTATATAGGGCATTTCCAAAAACAGTAGCTCAATGCGCTTTACATTGGAATACCCATTTTCAAAACCTTTCTTACTACTTCCTTTCTTCTAGTGCGATATATATTTATGCACACACGCACACACACACACACACACACACACACACATGGACTATTTTCATTCAGACGTGGCCACAGAACAACTATAATAAAAATAACGCTAAAAGCTTTTGAGGGATGCATCAGTTGTCTATGTTATGGTGCTATTGGCAGCTCTACCGCTTGTTCTTAAATATTTACCCAGTGTTGTGATTGCAAGTTGTCCCTTACAGGTAGTGAGCGGTTGGCGGGTGCTTTGGTATGTGGTTAGCTCCTCTTTCCCATCAAACATCTGCTGTCATTATCTTATCTCTCCTCCTTTTCTTTGTATGTTGCTCTCAAGGAGCATTTTTAATCTTTGGTACTAATGTGCCATATTTGTGTTGCAAGTGCCATGAAACTATTGCTCAAAATCTAACTCTTACTCCGCGTACAATTTGCAGCTGTACTGCGTGATGTCTTGAATGTGTGACCCGTTAGGTCTTTGAAATATGCTGCTCTCTCTTATCTACGTGAATTCTGTAAAGTACTTCTTTGTGGAAATGCGCTATATAAATGCAATTTATTATTTTATTTAATTGTTAAAAAGTGAGATGTGGGCATTGAAGCCTCAGTTCCTTACAGTACAGAACTACTGGCCCTATTAGACTAATCGTCAAAACTGCTGACTTTTAGTTCTGTAGGTACTCCACCGTCTTTTCAGATGATGTCCAGTTGGTCACTGGTTGTTTTGCTTTGTCATGTCTGTTCTTCATTTGACATTCTTTGTTTGATTTCCAAGGGGATGGTTGGCAGGTGCTCTGTTGTTGTTTGCTACTTCTTTCCTATCAAATGTGTGGCGTGCTGACAAAATGAGTTACTTTTCGCAATCCACAAATGGAGATATGGGCAAAAAATCAACACCGAGGTCAAATTAGTAGTTCTTCTATTGATGCTCTATCTTTTTATATACAACATGCCTCTTATTATTTCATACTTATAAATTGTAAAACTTCACTTATAAGCGTGATGTATCTATTTCCATAAGGCTTGAATCCGAGAAGTAACTCCTTTTGTCAGCACACTTCACAAATATATGTATCGTCCTTATCTCTATATCTGCTCCTTTTTTTGTGTTTGTTACTCTCTTGTTACACCTCTATTCTATGGCACTTATATGACCAAATTGCGTTGTCAAGTGCGTAAAACAAGACAAATTCGGATGAAGGTCAGATAAGATAAGATAAGATAAGATAAGATAATGCTTTATTCTCCCAGAGGGAAATTTTATAATAAAGTATTATCTTATCTTATCTTATCTTATCTTATCTTTATCTTACCAAGGTGTAGCTGAGTTCTGTGTTCTGGTCTCTCCACTTCTCCACACTCTGTGGGACCAACGAGGAGGTAGTCAGGATGTCATGCAAGGAACAACAATTTGTCAGTTACAAACGTGTGAGAGTGGGTGGTTGGCGGGTGCTCTGGTGTGGTTTGCTCCTTCTTTCCTATCAAACATCTATCGTCCTTACCTCCCCTTCTTTTTTTTCTTTTTTTTTTGTTACTCCCTTGTAACACCTCTAATCTTCTGGCTTTATGACCTTATGCAGTTGCGAGCGCTGTAAAACCTCGACTGAAACTAAACTCTCTTGTTACACCTCAATCTTCGGCACTTATATGACCTCTTTATTGTCTTGCAAGTGCTGTAAAACACTTATTTAATTAATTTTTTTAAATAAAAAAAACGTGTGAGACCTCAACTAGCCCTTTGCCAATTTTCCTTCCAGCAAGAAAATTTGGCCAGTTTCTGCCAGTTTTGCAAGGGGGACTTTGGTCTGATGAAGAAGAAAGCGTTCTGCCGCGTGTGTGGCAAGTGTGTGTGCAAGTCATGCTCCACCAAAGACTTGCTGGTCTACGTCCCTGACGGCGAGCGAGAGAAAGGCGTCAAGTGCTCCCCGAAGCTGGCTATTATTAAGTATGTTGGAGTAAGTATCTTGCGCAAAGGAGTAGAGATTTTGTGGGTGGTTGGTGGGTGCTCTGGTGTGGTTTGCTTGTTCTTTCCTATCAAACATCTATCGTCCTTATCTCCCCTTCTTCTTTTTTATGTTTATTACTCTCTGGTAACACCTCTAATCTTCTGGTGCTCATATGACCTTATGCAGTTGCGAGTGCCGTAAAACCTCTACTAAAACAAGACTGAGATACGTAGAAAACGTTTGTTCTAACTAATTAGTACGAACAGAACATATACAGCTCAACTTCCACCTGAACAGAATAAACCCGGAACTTCCCCCAATGTGTCCCTTGTGTGACTATGCATATGAGACTGTGGATCATCACCTGTTCCACTGCACAGCCCTTAATGTCATCAGAGCTACCCTTCTCCCTCCGAGACCTAACATTGACAACACACTCTATGGAACATTACAGCAACTGCAGCAAACCTGCACTTATCACTACATGGCATTGGACAGAAGGGAGAGAGCCCAGCTGTTGCTGGATCGATAACAACAATAACAACAACAACAACAACTAATTAAGGGGTGTTATTTGGAAATTAGAAAGAACTAAGAGTTGAGTGCTTCTTAATTAGCTTTGGATTACTTTATTACCTCATACGATTTTATATTATTGTTGAAATGCTTATATTTATAGCCATGCTTCCACTCTGGCCAAAGGGCTAGGAAAGATACAACATCCCAGTAGAAAGACTGAGATACTCTATGAAAATTTTTCCTCATTCGGGAATTGAAATCAGGCCTCCTGCGTGCAACAGCTAATCGCTACACCACAGATATTGATTTCATTTCTGATATAATACTAATTAAATAATGATAATAAAATAATAATAGATAGCATTTGTATTACGCAAATTCCCACCCAAAAGCAAGCTATACGTGCTTTACTGTCTATATTACTAATCTATAAGGCCTATAGTTACTCTTTTTAAATGTGTCATGACGCGGTGGAATCAGGCGCTCGTAAATTTTTGGGCATGTGAAGTTATTGGTATAGTCATAAAGCTTGTCCATTTGCTTTGCTTGTGGTGAAAAAAATATCCGTTTATCTCGGATACAAGTCAAGATATTGGCTGTTGAAGGAGGTGGGGGTCGCCCGGTTTTAGGGGTAAAATTAACGAGAAAATAGCTGCCAAAGTTGAGTTATTTCCTTAGTTTGAGAGTCCTTGGAAACTGAAAATTTATATCTTTTATCCGTTTAACTCTTTGCCATCATATTTTGTGGAAAATCCAAAGAAACTGGGTGGTGAACATCGTCAATGGGCGAGATGAGGCAGTAAAGTGTTAATCAACTTTTTCCAATAAAAATCTGCACGGAAATGTGTTCTTTAATGGGCAGGGAAGGTGTTGAGCCGAAAAACAAAAATTCGATTAAAAACTCCCAAACCTGCGGGAAAATGCCAGCTTGTTGATTTTCATAATTTTGACGAGCGCCTGATTTCACCACGCTACCTCACATAGTAAAGTTGTTCCCGCATCCGATCCGGACTTTGGAGATTGCCTTGTTACTGAGACAACTTCTTGGGCCTTTGGCATAATATTGTGGTAGGGTGGCCAGTTCCTTTCCACGCCGCCTTTACTTCCCCAACTCCTGGGTGGGCAGGAGGGGGCGAAAAAAATCTGTGTCCGAAATGAGACTCGAACCCGCACTTTCCGTTTCGGAAACGAGCGCAATAACCGCACCCTCTGTCTCACTTAGAGCAATGGTTTAAAAATTGAAGTTCAAGATTTGTTCCCCTTTTTTTAAAAAAATTGTTTTCGTTCCCCCCAAGTGTCCAGAGGTGGAACCAGAGATCAGCCTATACCTCCGCGTGTGCAAACACTGCAAGGACAGACTGGTAGACAAACAGGTGCGACTGGAGGAGGAGGAGGATCAGCTGTCCAACGGGCCCGACTTCCTGGAGGCCTTGATCCGAGTGCACCAGAAGCTGGTGAAGGCCGAGCTGGGGGTCAAGGATCAGCTGCCCAAGGTGGGGGGCTGGGTGGAGGCTCCGTCTGGTCTCTGTCTCATCGTCATGATCATTATCATTATCATTATCATCATTGTTGTCATCATTGTTAAATCATTTTAATCCTCATGATGATGATCACATCGTTATCATCATTTTAAACGTCATCGTCATCATCATCATCCTCTTTATTCCTGTAATTAGCTCGATAATGAAAAAAGCAAAATAAAGGTGGATACTGGAGTATTTCAATTTCAATAGACTTCCAATAGTTTCTCCATTTCTCTTAAAATTCTTTTCAAACGGCTCTTTGTTGTATATATATATAGATCTATATACACTTGTGATCTTATTTGTATCGTGTCAGATTCAAATCATTTCTAACTTATTTTATTTGTGTGAAGGACAGTAAGATAAGATAAGATAATACTTTTTTGTCGCAGAGGGAAATTTTTCTTGGCTGTACAGGACCGTAAAAACGCATGCAGGTATACATAAAAATTTTAATTACATATTACTCTCATTAAAATTCAATATGAAAAGAAAAAAAAAGCTGACAAATGTACATGTTATTGCTCATCAAATGCATCATTCTACCACATGCAGGAATTTAATTACAAGACTTGATCTAGAGTTATATAGATACATACTAAAAAAAGCAATACACATTCATGTTTATTCTGACAGGAGCCTTATACTTGATGGTAACAAACTTTTTTTGTATCTTTCTTTCTTTGTTTTTAAAGGTGTATATCTGCTTCTGCGTGATCTTGCAATTTGTGTGGAAAGGGGGTGGGGTGTGATGGGTTGTTGATAAAGCTTTTTATCATTTTATCTTTTTATCTTTTTATCAGTACAGAGACGTGGTGGACTCTCTCGAGGACGGGACGCGAAGGACAAACTTACAGAGCAACACCAAGATATTGGCAAAGGCACAGGTAGATCTAGGCTTTTTCTTCTTTCAACTGTTCTCTGTCTCTTCCCAGTAGCGCTGTCTTATTTGCGGAGCTGCGTGGGTTTGGTTGTTGAAGTTATTCATTTCATTTCACCAGATGTTAATGTATTTCTGGGCATACAGTTAGCTGAGTTTGTATGATGATACTATGTGCTGTGGATGATCCTGGTTCAAATCGCTCAATGGGAAATTCTTGACCATGGTTTGTTTCAAGAGTTTTTAAGGTTCCCCACATACTTTGAGGTATTAAGTGTAAGATTACTCTTAAATTCAAAGCCCTTTTCAGAGATGAATGTTAAATTCAGACATCCTTCAGCATTTTTAGCCTGTATTTACAGTATTTTTAGAAATGAGCTTTCAACCCATTTTCACATTAACTCAAATAGTAAGATTGACTTAGGTCCTCACTATTTTCAAATGTTTTCTCAAACTAATAGAAAATGACTTTGGCTATGGTAGTATGATCATGACACGTAGTAGTCAGTCGAGTAATTCTGCTTGTCATTGTCCACGTAGGGAGATCTGGCAGATGTCCTGGCACAGCATGTGACCATCGTCCAGCAGCTGAAGAAACTGAAACCTCAGACGGAGACGCAGGCCTCGTTGTTGAAGACGTATATCAGGGTAAGTTACAACAGAAGGGAGAGAGAGACACAGAGAGACAGACAGACAAAGAGAGAGAGAGAGAGAGACAGACTGACTGACTGACAGAGACGCAGGCTTCGTTGCTGAAGACGTATATCAGGGTAAGTTACAACAGGTGGG